GGAAAATTCAATTGAAGTAGCTGGGCCACGGACACTCTGGATGCCTCCAGGTCATAACTGTGCTGGAGCCACATCTTTTCTTTTAGTCTTTTTCCTCCCCAGCTTTCCATGGCGGGAGGTTTCCTCTTGGGATATCCTCAGCTGCAACTCAAATAATTTCCTGTCATGATAACTGACACGTAAAACCCATCTTCTTTGCCCGGTCTGGCAAATACCACCTGAACATCTCAAAAACCCTCTTTTTTTTTTTTTTTTCCCTCTCAGAAGAATCAGTGACATGAGGTGGAGATGTTCTGCCTCCTGTGATGCCTGACACTGCTATGACCATAATTAAATTTTCATTGAAATTTCATAAATTCCACCTAAAAGTAAAATAATTCCATAGATATCGAATGTCTAGCAGTCAGGTGATGCCTCAGGTAGGTGGGAATCAAAACACTATTGTCTTACTTTCTTCAGGTTCTACCCTTCACTGAAGAGTGAATTTCTAGATTAGGTAATTCCTAATTGCCTATACAAAGCTCCCGGGCTCAAATTCTTCTCAATACAGTCACTACATTCAGTTCCTACGCTAACTTGCCCCATGTGTCAGATAGCCACCTGTAAGGATGTTAAATCGCCACATTCCTTGCAAGCGTACCTGAATTATGTTAAAGGATTATGTGATCTCTGTGGTTACCAGAAGAACTAAACAAGTTTGCCCGACATCCTGCATTTTAAGACCTTACTTTCAAATTACTGTTTTGATAAGCTTCAGAGTGAAGTTTTTCCTGAGCATTCAGCTCTGTTAACATTTTTTAACATTTTGATACTTTGACTCTGCTGTTTCTGAACTGTGATGAAAATGTCTTGTTCCATTTCTRCAAAGAAAAATATCCTAAGTGCTTAGAAGTGATTCTCTGTTGTCTGACAGTTGGAAACTGAAATCTGAGTAAGGCAGATACCTGTAGATAAAGTAAATAACTGGTTCAAAGACAATAAACAAAGAGTAGGAGATTGCAGTCAGTCTTCTTATTGAAGGAGGTCTTTGGGTTGTACTTGTGGTATTGAACATATCCACATCTATCTGGAAAAGCAGGTGAATAGTGAAGCAACAAAATCTGCTATCAAACACGATGTCAAGTTGTGCAAGATCCTCACTGTGAGGAATAACTGTGTGACCACCCAGCTGAACAAATGCAACGTAGATAAATTAAAAATTTTACACTTGGGAAAAATATCKTAGTTTTATATACACAGTTACAGTTACTGAGCTAACTGCTATGACCATTCAGGGAAAGGATCTTGGTGTTATGATAGTTCTAYAAGGTCAGCACTTCAGTGCTCAGCAAGAGTCAAAAAGCAAATGAAATATTAGAAATGAYTAAGAACAGAAAATAAAACACCTTTTCATCACTCCATAAATCCATAGAGTGCCTATTACTTGGATAAYGTGAATAAACTGCCTCCACCCTGCCCCTCAAAATCATATAAGAGAGCTAGAATGAATAAAGGGAAGGATGGCCAGGTTAGCCAAAACCAGCTTCCATAGGAAAAATGGTTAGACGCTAGTGTTCATCCATCTAGGAAAGTGATGTCTGAGGTAATACTAAAGAGATCTGTAAAAGTRTAGATATTCTAGAGAACATTTATAGGAGTAGAGAGAATTCCATGTCTGGAAGCAGTGCAGGTAGCAAAGACTTCAAAGGAAACTAGCAGGTCATGAGTTCAAAGCAAGCAGAAGGAGCAACTTCTTCCCACAGTATCTAGTTAAACTGCAGAACTCTGCCAGAGGGATTTGTAGATACTAATTTCACATGGATTCAAAAATAGCTGGGCAAATTCACCCAAGGAAAATCTGTGAAGGGTTATTAAACAGAAAGATGAGTAGCCAGATGCCTCCTGGATCAAGGAGCCGAGTTATTAGCAGTTTAGCAGTTTAGTATGGAGGGGAAACATCATTATACTTTCTTTTGCTCTTTCTCAAGTATCACCTCTCTGTCAGAGGCAGGAGCTGCCAAGGTGCCCTTTGGTCCAACCTTGCAAGGTTGTCTTTATGTGTCCCTACACACCTCACCCCAAGCTGGACTAGCCTCGCTCTCCTGGACTTGATTGATTCAAATGGTAGCTACCAATGCTGTGGATCTAGTGCTTAAYCCCCTGGAGCCCTGCCTAGGCCTAGCATTATGCCATCGGGTGGATTTTTTTTGTTACCCAGGTTGCTTATTTAATTCTTCAGAAGGTTTTAATATAACATCCTTAACTAGAAGAATAATGAAGTTGCAATGGTAATCACCTTCAAACCAGCATTTCGGTTCGCTCCACCTTTGAATATATTAAGATATGCTATTTAATAACATCGTAATATAATGTGCCTCAATAYAATCAAGTCTTAATTCTACGTAGCACTATATGTATTGGATTATTCAGCATGAATTGTGTCCTTTGGAGGTTCAGTCATGACCAAGACATTTTCAGCCTCTTCTCTGARGCTGAACTAGACAGACATAGTTTAATCAAGAATTTGGGCTTCTGAGCAGGAGTTAGGATTTTCCATTCAGGTTGTATCAAACTCTGGAAGGTGATTTCTCTCCTGCTTCTTCTGTGTGCTTTTTTATGTAATTTGTGGGATAGGCAGATGCTATTATCTGCCCTTTGCTCCTTAGTAATCAGGTGCAACAACTGCAGCGTATGTGAAGCCGAAGGCAAAACACACCATTCACAGGACAAGCCTCCAGCTATTTCCAGTGGCCAGAAGAGTGCTGGAGAGGGCTTCTGTCTCAGTTTTCTCTCCTTTCTCAGGACTGTCAAGGGGTGGGGAAGCAAGCTTRCGGAGAACAAAAAAGATATTTTGCAAAGCCCTCCATGTCATATGTATCAAATGTTTGGCCTTTTTCAGCCTGCCCTTGGCAATTGGGCAGAGTTACTGGCAGAGTTACTCCACTCAAAATTTTCTCAATGGACTATGATCTGAAAAGGAAGAAATGTCCTCATCCAACCTAATTAGATTACCTTAATTAGATTATGTTGCTTGCTTAGGATAGCTGAGGCATCTCCTGAGAGCAATGCACATCTCACTTGGTCTGTATTGCTCTCTGGAGATGCCAGTGGGCTGTATGTTAATGTTTTGGTTTGGATCAGGCATACAGTTTTGAAGCAAATCTTCAAATGTGAACGTGGATCTACTGGAGAGAGTCCAGCGCAGGGCTACAAGGATGATCAGGGGCCTGGAACATCTGCCCTCTGAGCAAAGGCTGAGGGAGGCCTGTTCAGCCTGGAGAAGAGGAGGCTGAGGGGGGACCTGATCAGTGTGTATAAATACCTCAAGGGAGGCAGTGCGGAGGAGGGGGCCAGCCTCTTTTCAGTGGTGGCCAGCGATAGAACTAAAGGCAGTGGCCATCAACTGAAGCACCAAAAGTTCCACAGGAACTTAAGGAAAAATTTCTTAACAGTGAGGGTGACAGAGTCCTGGCACAGGCTGCCCAGGGAGGTTGTGGAGTCTCCTCTGGAGATCTTCAAAACCCGCCTGGATGCTGCTCTGTGCCCCRTGCTCTGGCTGTCCCTGCTGGARCAAAGCTTTGGGCTAGATTAGAACCTTAAGGATCCTTAAGGATCCTATGATGATCCTAGACCACCTGAGTTGGAGTCATTTGGGGTGAAACTAAACTGAAGGCTGCTCTCCAGGGGAGCCGCCAGATCATTCCAGCCTCACTGGGCACTATCCAGGGATGCTCCTCTGAAACTGGGTGTCTGCAGTGTTGGTGCTGGGACCTTGGCAGCTGCTCGTTCACTCTGAATGTGAACCTATTGCACCACAGTGCTGCCTAGTAGAGACTGAACTTATCTCCCTGCAGCCTATCAAGGAAAGACAGAAAGACCATGCACATTCCACAGAGGCTAAAATTAGTTGGCATAACTCTCCACTGTATCTTTCAGGGGCCAAGTAGAGAAATGCCGATTGCTTTCAACTATCCAAGGTCACTGGGAAGTGTGACTGAGAAAAGATAGTGATGTGGAACCCTTAAGTTTTGAAAAAATGAACCCTATCCATCTCCAACTTGGTGCCTGCAGTGAGTTAAAGCTTTTTTTGGGCACTGGCTCACCAGCTGCAAAGAGGAGATAATCACCTCAGTGGTGAAGATAAGCTCKATAAAACTTCTGTGGGATCCTGATATTACTGTGAAAAGTGCTGCAGAGAAACTCGTTAGCAAATTTAACTCCATTGAATGAAGTGTTCAGAAGCTGAACACCTGGCATGATGTACTCAATGCTGAGGATTGAAAGAAATACTGAATTAGCCATGCAWTAAATAACCTCTGTGCTGTATGAGGCATGAATTCCCATGAATTGCAGGTTGTACCCTAATGCATATAYACAGAAACACTAACTTATGGTTGCAGAGGCAACTCTAGCTCTATCATTTCCTAACTGTGCAGGGTTCCACTCTGGAGCCTTCTTTTTCTTTTCATATCCCCTTCATATCATACGAAGTAGAAACTATTTTGTGAACTACCCGTGAGACTCTCCAAGATAAAAAATGCTATAATATTATAAGAGTAGCTACGATCTTCATATAAAGTGTTTGAATGCTATGCTTGAAGCATAAAGACTTTAATAAAATAAAGGTAAAAGGTAAAAGTAAAAGTGTAGCTATTTCTTAAACTGCTGTTTCTAGCGGTAGCATCTGGAGCTACATCCAAGAACAAGCCAGGATGACAGCAGATCTTGAAGTAAACGAGCATTTTTGCCAACAGAGCATACTATTCTTTGATATCTATGGTGGTCTTCATTGAATATTGAGAATATCTTGTAACATCAGAACAAGATGGAAATTTCTGCCAAGAGTTTATCAAAATTTGTACCTTGCTTTGCATGCTAATTTACAGTTCCCTGAGGAATTCCCATACATGAGAYGAATTGCCAAATTCGTCTTGCCAATTTGAACTCATTTCAAATGTTATCAACATATTTGTTTATCATTCCTTTCCTGTTAAAAGTTTGGCTTTATCTCTTTGCTTTAGGTTCTGGATTTGGAGCATCTACAAAAGCCATGTGTTTAGGGATGAGATACTGGAAGCCAGAAAGGTTAGAATCGCTCATTGAAGTGAGCATTGAGTGTGGACGAATGACTCACAACCATCCTACAGGTAATGTTCACTGACATACTGTATTTTTTTTCTAAAGTACCTAACGGGAAACCCTTCAGGAGRGACTAAGACTGCTCCTGCAAATTCTCTTGGTTGAACTGCAACACAGATTTGCAGGGCTTGGTTTGACTGATATTATCTAAAAGTATATTTCACATATATAAACTTGTATCTTTTCTTATATACTACATAAGCAGCAATTTCAAGGATAGGAGTTATCCCTCCAATTACTAACCACAGCCTGTCTTGTCCAGAGTATATTCACGTCACTAGCCCTGAACAAATTTTAGGGCTTATATACATTCAGATGATATTTTTTAACATGGAAGTTTATAATTCAGCGGATAATAATATTTTTGTCTGTTGACAGGTCTGGTCATATCCAATAATATCCATATCCATATCCAGGTAAAGGTAGAAAGCCCCCCCCCCAAAATCACCAAAATCTAACTCCATATAATTTAGGAAAAAATCTGAAACTTTATCAAAACAAAACGTAAGTAAGTAGACTTAATGTTGCTCTAAACATACAGACCTGGCACTATGATAATTTTACACTACATAAGCACATATTTGTTCTGTCTCCTTTAAACAATAATAGGTAAAACTGTAATAAATGGTGACATACTCAGCATACTCAGTTCTCTGAAGCAATGGGGAAGGCCAGCAGGAGAGCATGAAATTCAGAGGAAAACAATTTAGAGAGCAAGTAGAAAAGATCACGAAGGACGCTGCAAAGTCCAGGGCTACACAAAGGTTCAAAAGGGATCAGGCCAAGCGGGGGAAGGGGACGTTGCTGTTAAACACAATTAAGGCGTGTAATTAAAATCGCCGCAGGGCGCCTGCATTATTTCTGCCGCCAGCGGCAGATGCAGCTTCTCGTCCCCCTGATGGGGCCTCGTTTCTTCCCCGATGCAATGACAAGTGCTGGGGGCTCCATAGGGGCTGCGAGTGGGCACCCCAGGAGCAGGGAAGGGACCTTCCATCCCCTCATGCCTTATGGATGCTGCCCCACTTCCAACACTCTCAGCACGGACCCCTCTGGCCACCCTCTCCTCACTGCCCCTTTCAGCCTGTAGATCCGCTCGGTCGCTGCCTTCTCGCCTAGGAATATTTACAGCAAGTGCCTGGGATGATGTCTGGCCAGGGAAGAAGCTTTGAGTTAGCTCTGCCTGTTCCCTTGGTTGTTTCTGAGTGCCTCTGTCGGACCCAGGGTTAGATGTGCCCTTGGCATGACCATGTCCATCACGTCTTCGTGCATGACAGAACCCGTGATAGTCCCATCTGGAGTCCTAACCTCCTCAAGGAACTTGRCTTTACCTTCAGCAAAACACATAAAGTTCACGCTTACCTTCACACATGAGAGAGCGCTTTTGGCGCATACGTCAAGTGCAGTACACACACCAACACTGCGCTCACCAGGTGCTTATTTAAACGACTGAGTTGATTTTTTCCTTTGGATGTTGCATTAAGTTGTTTTTGCTGCATTTGGAGAAATACCCCTCCTACTGCAAGGAGATATGAGAAGTGAGCYTCTAAGGTTCTGACACTGCAGAGGTTTTGAGTGTCCATTAAGAGAAGATCCACCTGAAATATATTTGTGTCCAAAGAGCCAGCTAGTCATGCAGATAGCATAACTTACCTAGCCAATTGCTTTTTCAGAATAAATACATCCCAAAGATAATAAAAAACGACTGTCTAACAGCTAGGTAGAATGCACCTATCCACTTAGAATAAAATGAAATAGTATTAGATTTAACATCGACATCTGTTTAACTATAAGCCATTGCTTGTAGTTAAATCACTTGTGCRTCAGTTATTTCATGTGACTAGAATTAAAAGATTTTTCCCTTTCACATTAATCTTTGGTGTTTATTTTTGACTTCTGCATCAATTTCTGTCCTATTACTCCATATATTACCTCAGAAACTCCCTTCTATATAAAATAATTCATAAAACAGCAGATACCATATATAAAYCAAGAATTTTAACATACCTAGAGTCAGCCTCTAAACAGACAGAGATAGGTTATATACATTTGGTAAACTGTACTAGACGCAGGAGGCAATGATTTTACTAGGGACGTGACAAGGATGGTACAAACATGGATCACATGTTAATAATTGTTATTATCTATTAATTCCAGGCTTTCTAGGGTCCCTCTGCACAGCTCTCTTTGTGTCGTATGCAATACAAGGAAAACCCCTTGTGCAATGGGGAAGAGAGATGATGAAGGTTGTGCCAATGGCTGAGGAATATTGCAAGAAGACCATTCGACACATGGCAGGTAACCTGTCTGAATCAAGAGTTTTGTAATTAAAAATCTGTGCAGCCATAAAGCCATTGAGCAAATGCCACTGCTCAGTTTTTATGCTTTCCCCATTTCCTGGCTTCATGGGATACTTTCTTTATTACCTGTTTAGACTATTATTTCTTAYGAGGCTGTACCCTCTTACACTGTCAGTTGCCTGGTATATTGGTGGCATAAATACGAAGTGAAGGAGTAAGGATAATACCAAAATGCATAGTTTTATTATAGGGGGAGAGGGAGGTGAAGAAAAGTTATTTGGCAGGTTATTAGGGAAAAAAAAATGCTCAGATACCAATTAGTTCAGCTCAATCAATTAGTACAGTCCAATGTTTTCCACAATGATATCCACTGCCATCCCTCTTTTTTTTTTTTTTTTTTTTCCCAGGAGAAGCTCACCTGTAGATGTCTCTTGGGCAAGGAATTGTTTACTTTTTGGCCACAGATTCATATTTGGCTTGTTGTTGTTCTAAACAAATATTTAAGATACCTTCTGTCATACCTTTCTTTCTGAAGGAGAGGAGCGCAGCTATCAAACGCAGTATTGCTGCATTAGTAAATGTGTGTAATCTTTCTGGCCAAAAGTATTTTAGTTCGCCCTTGCCCAGGAGAGCTGCATTCAGAATATTGAGACCCGCTGTAGGCCAAAGCCTATAACTATACCATGAATTTGAGGAAAGAAGCTTTTCTGATTAATCTCGAGGGACAGTTATTGAGAACRATTGAATTCCATGGAAATCTTTCATTGGCGCACTCAAAAACAAGGATTTCCCTAGGCAGAAAAGCTGCTTCTTTAAGAAGAGGAAGAAGCAGGAAGCCTTTCTGAAAGACACTGTATTCTTTCTTCCGCGTGTCTCACTTGTACTAAGACTTTTATTTTTTTTTTTTAGACAAGACCTATGAGCAGCAGGTGCAGGATTAGCGTGAGCGAGCTCCCCTTTGCTCGGCTTTACAGCAGGGCCCTGTCACTCCAGCAGGGCAGACCCCGCCGGGCAGAGGCACGTAGCCGGGCCCCTGGAGCACGCTCCCCCTAATACCGGCATTGTAGAGCGCCGTCCTATTTTAGAAGCGGGAAAAGTCTCCCCACGTCGCAGCTAAGCTCCTTGGCTGCTGAGGCGCACGGCAGAGAGGTCCTGCGGGGAAGAGTTCTCCATATTTAGCAAGCACTTTCTTAGCYGCTTTATTACCTTTTGCAGAGGGCTTAMTTCAGCGTTCCTCTCGTTAAATTGCCTTTACTTGASAGAGAGCCCCATGCACTTGAATGCRAGTCTTCCTACGGAAAAGGTGTAGCTGTAGGTTGGGCACCTCAGATGGGGTGCTGGTACGGGGTTTGGACTGAGCCACAGGCCTTCCATGCAGCTGGAGTCTCTATCCAGAGGCTTTATCCCGTATTTCTCAGCCTGTGCATTCAAGTGATGACGTTGCCTCTCYTCTTGGGGTGCTACACAGGAAAAAAACAACTTCTGAAGCACTTAYGCTTTCTGGAAAAAATAGGAATTTAGGAATAATAGGAGAATAATAGGAGAATAATTAGAAATAATATGAAAATGCATGATTTAGAAAACAAGCATACCCACCAGGTCTTCTGCATTTTTAACTGCAATTTTCGAACAAATTGATGAATGGGTTTGGGAGTTTCTTTCAAACAATATTTATCTTTGGAGACATTTTTTTCCCAAGGTACTTACTGTGGCCTGAACCCTAAGAGTACAATTTCATTCCACTTTTCTAAATACTTCTTTTTTTTTTAGGGTTCTAGCTAATAGTTCCCTGAAATTTTGCAAAATTAGGGCATGGATTCAGGAGAAGGGAGGCTGGATTTTCTCTGCACTTCAGAATACAAGGTAGTGAAATCGAACTCCCGTTTCTGTACGGGACTGCAGTTAAGGCCTTTAAAGTGGTTCAGCTCTATTACAAAAAATATATGATGCCTTGTAGATACTTAGTACATATGTTTAATATATGTTACTGTAAAACACACATTTTTTTTCTATTCAGTTAGTATTGTCATTTTCTTAAAAGGTTACTTCAGCAGAACTGAAAGTGTTGCTGAGATGAAATGCTACCTCCTTAATTTCTTTTGCATTCAGAATATCAGGAGCACTGGTTTTACTTTGAAGCCAAGTGGCAGTTTTATTTGGAGGAGAGAGAAATCAATGAGGAAAATCAGAACAAACCTGTCTTTCCGGACAACTATGATGCAGAGGAGAGAGAAAAGGTAAACTGGATCTTCAGAAAGTGCTCAGAGAGAACGAAAGAGGTATTTCCAAAGGAACACACTAATATTTTTCAATGTTTCCAAGGCGAAAGCAGACAGGAAAACTTTAATCAAAAAAGAAACAAAACAAAACAAACAAAAAAAAACACTAAACAAAAAGGAGACAAAAAGACATTTTAGGTGGCTGTCTGCTCTTGTGGGTTTGTTCCCTTTAATATTGGCCCAGATTGTTTTAAGTACCCCAAGAGATGCTCCCAAGGAGATGTTTCACAACAATTCTTATTGTACTTTATTATARCATGCATAATCTTTCTTTTGTCTTACGATTTCCAGTCACAACCTCTTAAGAGAAATAATGCCTCTTCTTCCCTGGTGTTTACAGCTTTCTGATATTTGTTGGCACTTCTCAAGTTCTCCACTTAGCAGCTAAGGATGTGGTTCTTGTCACCTCTTCCCATAAATCAATTGGTTTTTCAGACTGTTACAGCACAGTTCTATTCCAAGAAGTCACTTTGTATATTTTTAGGTGCTCATATATGCAGTGAAAGGTGCCAATGGAAGATAGATTGACAGTGGATAATAAAAAAACTTTGCTCACTCTGTACCGAAAAATCTCCTTTCAGTTTAATTTTCTTAGTTTAGTGCCATGGATCATTATTAGATTTTTGTTCCTTACAGTTTTACAGATAACACAACTTTGTGGAAGATCAAAATAAACCCTTTTCCCTCTTGATCATTAGCTAGAGAGAAATTAATAAATTCCTAAGGCAGAATCACAGTCTCTCTTTTGCTCCAGGCCAGCTAGGTTGCCCTTCAGAGCTATTCATTTTAACACAAAAAAAAAGGAAAATATTGCTTGATTCTCAAACTCCATGGCCATCCAGAGACCCCAGCATACAGAAAGCTCTCATTTTGCATACAAACTAACTGTGTTTATTTGATAGCCAGGGGAAGAATAAGCAAGCAGAGATGCCTTCACCATGCCTTCACCATCTCAACCAAGTAGGCCGATACTGTCCTTCCTCCCACCTCATTCCTTTGCACTGCTGCCAAACTAACTGGTCATTTGTATTTGGATGCATAATTGGTTGCCTTTCTAGAGGGCTTTGATCAAATGCAAAAGGCCCTTAAGTGTGGCCCTCTTAGCAGACCTTTAAATGCATATTTTGGCTAGACAAAGCCCTCCTTCACCACGTGTAGGAGCTGCGAAAGGTAGGCCCTCAAAAGTGGCTTGGATTTGCTTGAGAATGTTACAAAGATTTTCCTTTGCAACAGAAAAACTGTACCTCCAAATTCAAAGCAGCATAGATCACATTTTGCCCAAGGGTATAAATTAAATTTGGAGATAACTGGAACGTGTGGGTATAAAAGACAAATTAACATTACTTGAATGTAAAAACAGAAGATGGGCAATCAGCAAATTCAGGGACTAGTGGAGTTCTTTCTTTCAAGTGCTGCTTAAACCTGTATCACAAAAGAACTTAGGAAGGGTTACAAATAATAGAAAAAAGCAGTGTCAGCCAGTAGCAGGTCAGATTCTTCAAGGTGAGGAAATAAGAGGCAGCTGCAATTGCTGGTAGCAGGGGTTTGCAGTGAGGGAAGGGTCTGTGGATTTGCTATAGACTGTGGTAGAGGCTCAGGTCAGTAGCACAAGAGAGTGTTTCACCTGCATCCACTTCATGTTTCCAGTCCTCTTGCTGCCAGCTAGAGAAGCTGTCTCGCTGCCAAACTATAGAGCTTTCCTCCCAGGAGGAGGCTATGCTGCTGGGAAGTCTGCAAAATGCAGCCTTGGGGCAGACAAGTCCCTCCAGGCTCAATCCCAAGGATCATTGCTCCTAATGTAAAGAATTTCCAGCAGCATAAGTGAGGTGACGTCAAATCTGTGCAGAACATCAGCTATCTTGAGGGCTAAATGGAGCGAAACTTGAGAGGCCTGCATGCTCACCCAGAATAGCACTTACACGGCTAGTCCTCTTGCCTTCGGTAATACTGCACAAGCATCAGTACTGCTTCACCAGAATAAAAAATGCAGGATTAAGGCTTTGCAGTTGGCTTCTGTCAGAGGACAGCATAAACATATAAATGTTCTCACTAGTCTGCAGACCTAAAAGCAGCTGAGTGAAGCTGAAATCCAATTCTTCTAGTTTGATATGTATAAAGATATTTCACATCAAGGTATATAATGGCCAAGAGGAAAGTGAATAGATGTAAATGTAAACTTTCTTCATATAGGCAGAAGGTACGAGTAAATCTAGCAGACACAATTCAGCTTACCATGTTGTAATTTACACTTCAGAAAACAAAGTGAGATTGTAGGCCAATTTCCTTTAAAGGAAAGGAAATTTTTTCTACAAAATTGGCAGAAATGTTGAGTAAGTCTTGGAATTTCGGGCAGATAAAAGTAAGTTCTGAGATGCTTGGTCTAGAGAATATCTAATTATCCCTGACAAATCTTACTGTGTTTTTGTTTTTGTTCTGNNTTTTTTTTTTTTTTTTTTAAATATAACTTTCTTCTTACGGACAAGAAATCTCTTTCTCACATTTGCAAATTGTTTTCAGTCTTGTTCAATATATGCTTGTTGGAGAGGTGAGGAAGGGCTTGGCAAAGGCCTGGCAAGAAAGAACTAAATGAACATAGTCTGAAATTAAGATCTTAAAGAAAGTGCAGATGAAGAATTGCAGGAATATCAAACTCCCCTTTGTGATGCACAGACCAAAGGGATTGGGCAAGCACATGAGGGATGGTGGGATAAGCTGGGGTGTGGGCTACAAGGCATTCCCACCTCTGGGGTAAGTGCTGTTGTGCCCCTGGCTGCAGGCAGCAATGTGGGTGGTAGACACGTCCTGTTCACGAGCAATTCCCCCCGAAGGAGCAGTAGGGGAGAAGTTACTGAGCTCTGGAGCGAGCCCTGCTGATGCTGCCATGTCTCCCGTAGACCTACAGACGGTGGAGCTCTGAAGGCCGGGGGGGCCGAAGGGGCCACGACGCCCCCATGATCGCCTACGACGCCCTGCTGGGATGCGGCGGCGACTGGACCGAGCTCTGCAACCGCTCCATGTTCCACGGAGGTGAGGGAGGCACTCCGTGTTTCGGTCCCCTCCTGGTCAAACTGGCCACTGCTCCCCTTCACGCGTAGCGTGGCCAAGTAAGAGTTTGAGGGAGAAAAATAATACAGCACCTAGGTAAAACTGTAAGGGGGACCCAAGCAAACAAATTCTAAGAGGCTCTAAGAGTGCTCTTGAGGCACACAGTTGGTTACTTTTGCAGTTTTGCAAATGAAAACACTTCCACTTGCATCCTGCTGGGCTTGGAGACCAAGGAGCTGCCCCAACCATTTGGGTTATCTGTTCCATCCTTTGCGCAGTGAGACCTGTTACAGAGCCTCTGTTGTTGCTGACTTGTCCCACTCCTCCTGCCCTGGTGGGAGCTCATGACCTCTCACTGCACGCTCCTACGGACACATACCATCACATACTGAGAGGAGTGCTGTTACTATAGTTAGATACTCCAAATCACATGTGGTGCCATGCTGGGACATGCTGCAAAGGAAGATACACTCCCCACTCCGGGGTGCTCACCTGCAGCACAGACTTCTGCAATTACTCTGCCTTCTCTTTCTTCCTAGTGATGACTAGCTGCTTGCAGGAGCTGCTGGACAGTAGTGGTTATTTCCCAAATTAAAAAGCAATGTCTGACTGCAGCACTGACTTTTTCTAGTCTGTTACCATGCCCCTACCTCTGGCCACTCTCTCTCTCCATCGATGAGACATGGCCTTTACTGTAGGACTTGGTTAATACCTTCATTAAAATTGTGTTAAACACATTTTTAAATGTAATAAAACATACGCTCAATCTGACTATTTGACTGGGAAGTTTGTAGAGGACACAGCTCTCCATGGCAGTTCCTGCCTTCATGGCAAGCATTGTATTCTACCCCATGCTGTGTTTTTCCTCCAAGCACCAAAGAAAAATTGTTTCCTAAAATGAGTTTTGCCACTTTATCATTTGGCAAAGTGATTTTCCACCCACTCGCCTGGTGGAATTCTAATTTGGGAAAATATTCCTTGTTTACTGGGTAGCAAAACTAGGGGTGTCCACGTTGCCAGGAGCACTGCAGGTAGTCAGCTCATGTTTCCTGCTCTGCAGGGTAAGAGCTCTCTGCTTGAAAACTTCCTAATGATACTGAATGCCTGCTGACACTAGACATTTCTGYTACCTGTTTAGTACAGAAGACAGATTTTTCCAATTGGTTGCACTATGAATGTGCCACTGTATGCATTAAACACGAAATTCAAGATTGTCCTCTACCATTGGCATGAATCTGCTGGGAGAGTTATGCAGGCACAAGGGACATCATAGGAAGGACTTGGACTCTACTAAATCTACCTTGACYTCAGCCAAGGAAGTTCTCTTCCTCCTTAGATATGGTGCTAAATGCTCTATATAGTGACATCTGGAAAGTGAAGACAAGAGAGAACCCAGAAAAAAGAATTAGGGAATTTCCTAGAGCTACCACATCTTGGCCCACTACAAGCGGGTGAAAGATGAAGATAAAATATGTTTCATGCAAGGGAACCAGGAGAGTGTGCTTTCCTGCAGATACACATCTTATAAAGAGTGAACATAATCACATGTCATGTGTCTCCCACCTCCTAATTTCTTATTATCTATCAGTGTTAATCCTTAATTGTATTGTCTAGAAGCTAGTGAGCAGGTTCAAAATCACCTGTGTGAGAATCCGCAAGGCAGAGAGATGTGTGTGACAGTCACATCAGATTATGACGGTCTGAGCCTTGTTCTCCAGGGAACAATGCCAAAASTAAACTGATCCAAACACATGCATGACACAGAGTAGATATAATAGAAATCTATGGGATAAAGTGTCACAGAAAAAAATGATAGAGAATGAACAATCCTAAATTGTCTCTTCCAGTACCTGAACTASTGGAGACCATCTATAATGAGTAGGCAAATGGTCTGAAACAATCCAGTGGAGATGTACCTTTCAAAAAACATAAAAGGCACATCCTTCTCACTGCAAGATGTTGTAGATGCTGAGAGTTCATGTGCATGCAAGAAGTGATTGGGTAAACTCACAGAAAAACATTTGCAGAAGGTTATGAAATACCATGAGAGCAGCTGTGGTTCAGGACTACACCCCACAGGAGCACTGCAGTATTCTTGCCTTGGGGATATGCTCTTCCCTGGGTATCCTCCTCTTTGCACTGCCAGAAACAAAATGCAGGTTTGCATGAAACTTGGGGGCTGGTTTGATATGGCCATTATGTTCTCTTCATTCTCTAGTGGCTTCATACTTCCCCCTCAGCGTAGGGCAGGCTTTGATCGTGTAGCTACGAGCGACTCTAAGAAAACTTTGCAATTGTGTTTAAATCCGCAGGTGAAAGTGCAGCTACGGGATCTATTGCTGGTTGCTTGTATGGATTGGTTTATGGCCTGAGCAAGGTTCCCAAAGGCTTGTACCAGGACCTTGAACAAAGGGAAAGGCTAGAGTACTTGGGCGAGAATCTTTACCGACTATCCGCAGAGGAAAAGTAAAGCAGTTTCTGCCATTTTCTCTTTCTATAAAGACTATGTCAAACCTTGKAGATAACTGACTGGCTTTAATATTGAAGGGTAGGCCGAGAGTTAGTCTAAATAGCTCTATGTTGAATATGTGCAAGTGAAGCTAGCTGAATAATTCAAGAGCAGTTAGATATTTCCAGTATTCATTTTTTTTCCACAGATGTAGAGATTTCTGGGTATAAAGATTGCTACTTAAATGGTGAGATCATTTCAAATGGAAAAAAATAAATAAAACCTCTTTTGATTGATTTCAGTCTAACTTGCTGTAATACCACTTCCTAAAAAGCTATGAGCAGCAACCACAACATACGAAATTAATTTTCAGAACTAATGCTTTCCTGCAAAACTAATGATAGTACACTTTTATGGGGACATTCTCTGTATATTTGACAATCCTTTCACCACTGTTGCCCTCCTTGTTCACAAGTTTAATGTGTCCGTGACACTTGTAGACCTAATGTTTCACAGATTATCTTTTAATGAACAGCTGATCCCCACATCAGCACTGTGGTGCAAGGTATTGTTACATTAGAAGCTTCCAGAAAAGGAAAAGCCAACACTAAAAATACACCCAAGGTGCAGCAAAACAGCAATGTGGTCTAAAATATCTGAATTGCACTTTTTTCACTGTTGTCTTCAGAACAAACTTTCAAAAATATTTATATAACTGACAAATGTTTGTAAATAAATGAATATTGCACCGTTTTCTAAGCATCACTCTTTATTTTTAGATTGACGAGATTATATGTTGCAGTATCAGTATCAGAATTTTGGCCGAGGCCTTCAAGCAGTTGTAATAGGTCAGCTGTCAGGCTGTGATACATTTCACAAGTCTAAGAAACACTACAATCCCTGGGAAGAAAACACAACTGCTTTTTTTTTTTTTTTCCCTGAGAAAATAATCTAACTACATGATTCAGCTAAAAGATGCCTTATAAAGTAAAAAATAAACAAGTAGAACTGGGTAAATGCGATTGTGAYGTATCAACAGAATGGGCACCAATCTGAAATTCCAGGGAAGAAGTACAAGCAGAACCTGTCCCTTTTGTTTAACCCTATGTTTCACCTCAGGAAACTGAGGTTTATGTGGCACTTTCTGATCTCCACAGCGAGTGATTGACTACATGGTGTTGGTTTCTCCTATCTTTCTTCAGCTGCTGAACTGCATTTTAAAAAGATAGCTAAAAATACTTAAGTACTTTCCTACTCCTTTTTCCATGTAAGCAATTGCTGGAATCATCACTGGGATGTTATGTGACAGAAAGAGGAGCAGGTGATCCGAGTCATTATGAATAGCAGCCTGCATGACAATATCTGTATGACAATGTTGTCCGTACTGCAACTTTAAAAACTGTTTAAAAATTGTTGTTTAGCATGTTTTCTCTTTGCAGCTTTGCCAGATGCTTTCATGTTTGCTTTGGAGTTATGTTAAACAAAAAAGGATCGTTTGTGTCCGTAGTTTCTGATTTAAGAGAATTGATATGACAGAATATCAAGACTTCCTAAAAACATTACTTCTAGTTTTATATTGCCTCTAGCACACCTGTAACAAATTCAGCAATAGAGAAGAGAGAAGGACATACCATCATAAGGTACGATTTTCTATCATATATTGATTTTTCCCCCTCCTTCAAAGAAAAAAGAAAATCACACACAAAAAAAACAGCATTGATAACTGTTGCTAAAGGGCATCTCATAGCATTTTGCTCCCAACCTTGCCTTATATCCATGCTGACTGTGGATCAACTTTGATTTCAGAGGCAAATACGGGAATTTAAGTTGAAAGGTGTTTCACAGAGGCTGAACTTCTAAAGGATTACTGCTGAAGTTACTGAGGTAAAGAGTGTTGGCCACCATTTCATCKGAGGCACTAGAGAGGCCCGTGTATYGGTCTGACCAGGCAGAACTGCTGCAACGGTGGTCGTTGCTTTCCTYGGCTATGGGCCATTCATCGACCCAAGTGTCACACAGAGCTGGGGAGCCACAAGATGCCTGGGGACGTGAGGATCTAACCATTGAAGTGCCTTGTGTGCTCCACCTCATGACTGTTTTATGGACAGAAAGTCAGAGCAATTGATCCATCCCTGGCAACATCTCTGAGTGGAACAGCGCTTTCCATTTTTTCTTTTGTTTTCTTTTGTTTCCTTACTSTTGCCTCATCTTTTATGGGATCTGTCCTGACTGCTTCCACCTCCTACTTTCTTCCAGGACATCTAGTCTTTTGCACTTTGAAAAAGTGGAAAACATTGATATGGTATTTAAAAGGAGACTCAAGGAATTCAGGGTCAAGGAGGCATTCATTTATCTGGAAAAAAAAAAAAAGCTACAGGGAATAGAGATTACAAATCAGAAGGGAATAAGACAAGTTTTTCCCTGCAATAYCAGCTACTGGGAATAGAGATTACAAGTCAGAAGGAAAGAAGGCGAGTTTCTCCTTGCAATATCAGCAAACCAGCACAGCAGTGAGAAGACCTGAGTGTTTTAGTGGGGATTGATAAGAGCCAAAAGGATGAAACCTCAGTGCCAAGGACAGTAAATCTGAAATTCCTTCACACCTTCAGTTGTCTGAACATTAACAAATGTTATCAGGCCCCATAGCCTCCTATGCAGAAGCCCACATAGCATGGACACAGTGAAGAGCAAAGACTGGTTGTTGTCTTAGGGTGCATGCAGTTCTGGAGGGAAGCGCTTGGCTCCCTTCCTTATCCTGGGACAGGCTACGGTTGTCCCCAGCTCCCAGACGTGGCAGTGTCTTGGCACAGAGGCCTTCCCTGGGATCAGCCAGCCTCTGGATAAGGTTGCACTGGGGCTGTTAGCACATCAGGCTTTTGCCACTCAGATATTGCCGTGATAAGTGTCACCAAAGTACCTATAAATAAAGAAGTAAACAGCCTGTCTGCATCTTAACACGCATTTAGTTATTCATGAGTCAGGAAGACAGGAAACATTTGAAAGTGGCCTCTTCCACACATCAAAAYGATGTGCCTTCCAGATACTGAAAACATGCTGAAAGCAGCAGTGTGTGAAGGCAGCACCACATCAGCATCTCCTGGGACAGAGAGGGCCTTGGGAGAGGGCTGAAGTCTGTGTGAGACCCTTGCATGGYGGCAGGGAGCAATGTGGGCAGGCCCTGCCCTCTGCCCAGTGCCCAGAGCTGGGAAGTGACTTTTACAGAGAGCTATCTGCTGGTTTGGGGTTCCCCATGGGCATAGGGAAATAGCTGCCCTGTTATTACAGGTGGGACAGCAGTTGACTATATAAAATTGCTATGAAGTTTAACATACTCTGCTGATAAGTCATGTTGTTTAAAAACAGACAATTGCAAGTTGGGAAAAGCAGTGAAAAAAAATTATTAAAGATGATGTTTTGGCCTGTTGAAAATGGTGATGACCTCAAATGCCTGAGGAACCCTGATTCTTTGCTCTTCYTACTGAGGAGGTAGCATGCTGTTTTCCCAGCATTGTGGAAAGAAATTTYATCGCTTTATGAGGTGATACCAGGGCTTTTTCATTATATCATGATCCTTACACAGAACAGATTTCGGATTTACGAGGCTGTAATGCTGGTTGGCATGTTAGGTCATCCTGGAAGGACTGCAGATGCCCTACATGAGTGCTGTAGCTGTTTGCTCTTCTGCCATTTTTGGGTGACTATGGAGCACACATTCAGCCAATGCAACATGTCTTGGTACTTAAGGCAATGCAGTATTCCTGTTAATTCCACAGTTCAGGAGGCATCATATGACAATGCTCTAATGTATATTTTACCTACAGTGCCAAAGGAAAAGCCTAAACAGAGCTCACCAGTAAGACATTTTGTAGAAGTGGTTCAAATTCTATAGTTCATAAGTGATTAGCTATTGTTAATCCTCATGACAAAGGAGATTTATCTTTTTCAATGGACTTCACTGGAAGCAGGACTAGTCCAATGAGTCCACACTTTACTGTGATTATTTATTTGTTGCATCCAAAATAGCGCAGATGGGAGAGGCAAGCAGAGCATCTTGTTCCACTACCTTTCTGAGAGATCAGAGGTGACCCTAAATTGTGATGTTTATGACTCTGTGTTTGTTTCTGAATATATGGGATACTTCTGAGGGAATGAAACATCTCTTGTTTGAGGAGAGACTGAGCGAGTTGTGCCTATTTTCTCTGGAGAAGAAAAGGCTGAGAGGGGATCTGGTCAATATGTATAAGTACACGAAGGGGGAATGTAGGGAGGAAGGGGCCAAGCTCTTCTCACTGGTGGCCAGTGRCAGGACAAGAGGCAATGGGTACAAGTTGAAACACAGAAAGCTCCATCTGCATGTGAGGAGGAACTTCTTCACTGTGRGGGTGACAGAGCCCTGGCACAGGCTGCCCAGGGAGGCTGTGGAGTCTCCTTCTCTGGAGGTCTCCACACCCRCCTGGATGCCRCCCTGTGCCCCGTGCTCTGGGTGTCCCTGCTGGAGCCGGGAATTGGACTAGATGATCTCTAGAAGTTCCTTCCAACCTTGAACATTCTGGGTTTCTGTGATACTGTGATTCTGAGAGAGACAGTGTTCTACAGTGGAAAACTCTCAATCAATAGGCTGGCTAAAGGATCGAGAGGATCCAGGATATCTTTAGCCTCAGTTATACCCTGAATTCTGTTTTCTTATTCCAAAAATCTTCCTAGTTGCAACAAATGGAGATCTTGGCACAACATTGGCAGCCTTGCATTGTCAGCTGTGGTATATTCTGATGGGATAGGGTGAATGTTATCACATTGTGCACTTGGGAGAGGACACCTGTGCTATGCTGAAATGTGGTTATTCCTAATCGAACCCTACAAAGTATTGTTTGTCACATCAGATACACACCAGTTGTCATGCTTTTTCCTTTTACTGGCCTTTAAAAATATCTACAAAGTCATTATAAATAGACTTCCTTCCATTCAAGATGGCAACTTCATCCCACTGCTGAGAGATGCAATTCTCAATATGTGTACTTGAAATGCAGCCAAGTAGAATACAAATGCCACCACTCTCATGAAGGAGGACCAGCTCCTCACTTTGCAAATGGCCCCCATAACATCACAGCA